GGGGGTTCATGATGACTGTGTAATGCAGGGGATGACAGATGGCCACAAAGTGGTCAAAGGCCATTATAGTCAGTAGGAAAGCATCTACTCCACCATAAATTAAAAAAAAAATACCTGATACAGGTATTCTATAAAGGAGATGTAATTTTTCTGTGCCTGGATGTTCACCAGCATCTTAGGGACTGTGGTGGAGATGAAGCAGAGTCAGCCAAGGACAGGTTGGAGAGGAAGAAGTACAGGGGGGTGTGGAGATGGGAGTCAGAGCTGACCGCCAGGATGATGAGTGGGTTCTAAAGCACTATGACCATCATGGACATCAACAGCCCAAATTGGATGGACTGCAGGTCTAGATCTTCTGAGAGGAGGAAGTGGGATAGGACTATGTGGTTCTCTGCTTCCATGTACCTGGTGTATATTCTGGGGAAGGAGGTAAAAGAACAATTAAGGAACAGGCAAGTGAATCCTCGAGTGAGTTGTTATTTACACTCTTGGATCAGCCTGGTTCATCCTGGGTTGATACCATTTTTATAAGCTCAGGAAAGTTATTCAAACTCGCTTTTTTAATATTTATTTCTTAATTGTAATTGGGCACAATACCTTTATTTTATTTGTTTATTTTTATGTAGTGCTGAGGAACGAACTCAGGCCCTTGCACATGCTAGGTGAGCGCTCTACCGCTGAGCCACAACCCCAGCCCTCAAAATCTCTTAACTACAAAGACTACCACACTGTAACACTACAGCTCAGTAACTGAAGATAAGCACACAAACAAGTTTTACTAGACGGGTGGCTGGGTGGCTCATGCTTGGAACCATGGATACCTTGAGCAAGATAGCAAGGCCTATCTTTCTTTGTTGTTTGTTTGTTTGTTTGAAGAGGCAAATCTTTATTGTTCTGGGGAAAAAAATCTTGCTGTATAGAAATAATAAGACTGAATTTCAGAATTTCATCAGTGCCTTATGAAGCCTCTTTTGTCATTTTCTTTTCAATTTATTGTCAAATATTTCTTTTTTAAGTTAATTTTTAAATTTATATATGACAGTGGAATGCACTGCAATTCGTATTACACATATACAGCACCATTTTTCATATCTCTGGTTGGCTACAAAATATATCCACACCAATTTGTGTCTTCATACATGTACTTTGGATAATGATGACCATCACATTCCACCATCATTTCTAAGACCATGCCCCTCTCCCTTGCCCTTTCACCCCCTGCCCTATCTAGAGTTCATCTATTCCTCCCATGCTCCCCATCCCTACCCCACTATGAATCAATGAACCTCCTTATATCAGAGAAAAGATTTGGCATTTGATTTTTGGGGATTGGCTAACTTCAGTTAGCATTATCTTCTCTAACTACATCCATTTACCTGCAAATGCCATGATTTTATTTTATTTTGTTGCTGAGTAATATTCCATTGTGTATATATGCCACATTGCTTTAATCCATTCATCTATTGAAGGGCATCTAGGTTGGTTCCACAGTTTAGCTATTGTGAATTGTGCTGCTATAAACCTTGATGTGGCTGTGTCCATGAAGCATGCTGTTTTTAAGTCCTTTGGGTATAGACCAAGGAGAGGGATAGCTATGTCAAATGGTGGCTCCATTCTCAATTTTCCAAGAAATCTCTGTACTGCTTTCCATATTGGCTGCACCAATCTGCAGCCCCACCAACAAGTATGAAAGTACCTTTTCCCCCACATCCTCTCCAACCCTTATTGTTTGTATTCATAATAGCTTCCATTCTGACTGGAGTGAGATGAAATCTTAGAGTGGTTTTGATTTGCATTTCTCTAATAGTTAGAGATGTTGAACATTTTTTGAAAGGCCTATCTTAAAATAAAGAAAAATAAGAAGTACGGGAAATATAGCTCAGGGTGTAGCACTTTCCTAGCAAGCATGAGGCTCTGGGTTCATTCCCAGGACTACAAAAACAAACTACAGTATGCAATTTGAACTCATGAACATGCCAAGGCAGTCTCCTTCAATTAATTTAAAGGAATCGATAATGTGATAAAGTATAATGGACTCAGTGTTGAATATCAGAAATAATTATATTAATGCTTATATTGTATACCATAAAGTAAATTGATTACTATAAATACATATGGAAATAATCAAAGTTATCATTAAGCCAAATATGAAGGTAAAAGTAGAGAATATAATAGAAAAATCCAATGAGATATGGAACAAAACAGACAATAGCTTGTGTGTAATAGATCTCTATTGATAATAACAAATGATTAGATGCAGAAAATTTGACAGGAGCCTATAATTTGGAAAGAGTGAAAAAGAGTTGCAGACTCTCAGGAAACAACAATTTGGGAGAGAGGCTCTAGATTTCAAAGACAGAAGGAAGCAAAGCAATAGAGGTGAAGAGACACATTCCAACAGACACTACAGTGCCTTCAAAGTGCAGGCACTTCACCTTCTCAGCTCAAGAACTGTGGAACATTCCCTTTCCCATTATCCTGAGGTAAACCCAGCACCCAAGTCCTCTCCTGTTGTCCTTCTTACTGCAAAACACAGACTGTGTCTGAAGGCTGTCTCTGAACTTCCTCTTCCCCCTGACCTATCCACAGGAAGTTAGCTTAGGTTTTCAGGAGGGCTGAGAACAGAAAAGGATGAGGGAGGGGCACCAGGAGTGTTGTTAAATTTCTGCAGCCTCCAAGCTTGAATTCTCAATGTTTCTAATTAAATAAATTCATGGTCTTTCCATTGTCTAAAGAATTCAACCCCCTTGGGATACAAAGAAGTGGAACAGAGATTTTTAGCCAATTTTACATCTGTGGAGGAAGTAGCAGCGGGAAGTGGATTTATTTCCCTCAAAAAAAATCTCTTTTTTTCCTTTGGTTTGATTTAAAAGTCATAAGGTGTCTGCCAATGGAAGTATATCTACATGGAACATTCCCAGAAATTGTCTCCTGTGACATGCCACCTTTAACAATCTAGAGATTTTAGATATCATTTCAGATACACAATCTATTAAAAAATAAGTATTTGTAATTTTCTTTAACCTCTTAATTTTTATGTGTATTTAATTGTGTATTTATTTCTTTAAATTGGCAGACAATTTTTGTACATGTTATGTTATGCACATATGGTGCTTAGAAATATATTACACAAGGCTTCTCTGTTTTGTGTTAATCTGACATTTGTCAATATGATTCTTTAAAAAAAAATCTCTGTTTTTTCTGGTCTGTTTCATTTATTTCTACTCTGATCTTTATTATATCCTTGATTCTAATAATTCGAGACTCAGTTTATTCTTATTTCTGTGCATCCTTACTGTACATTAATTTGTTTACTTGATATATTTTCACTTTTCATGTAGGTGATTATTTCTTATTCATAAAAAAGGATGATCTTTGGAACAGCTGTTTCTTCTCACTGTCAAACTTGAGATCTTAGGTGTGCACCAGGGTGACATTATCCTGGAACAGCTTGCTTACTTTGACCAATGAGTTTAATTAACACACTCACATATTTTTGTATTACTTTTTTTTGTTTTTGTTTTTTTATTGGTTGTTCAAAACATTACAAAGCTTTTGACATATCATATTTCATACTTTAGATTCAAGTGGGTTATGAACTCCCATTTTTACCCCATATACAGATTGCAGAATCACATCGGTTACACATCCACATTTTTACATAATGCCATATTAGTATTTGTTGTATTCTGCTACCTTTCCTACTTTTTAAAATCCTACTCCACCAGCTTGAAGGGCTCCCTTCAGCATTTCCTGAAGGCCAGTCTGGTGGACATGAACTCCTCACAGCTTGTTTTGGAAAGTCTTTACCTTGCCTTCATTTATGAAAAAAACAGCTTTGCTAGAGAGCAGTCACAATGGGCAGTTTTTGTATTTCAGCATACTGAGTGCATCCTCCCACTCTGACTTGGCTTGTAAGATTTGTGTGGAGAAGTGTGCTGTGAGGCCTACTGCAGATACCTGGAAAAACTTGTGGGTTTTTGGGGGGGCAAAGGAACTGAACAGGCACTTCACAGAAGAAGAAATATGAATGGTCAAAAAATAAATGAAAAAATGCTCAACATCTCCAGCAACTGGAGAAATGCAAATTAAAAACTACAATGAGATTCCATCTCACTCCAGAATGGCAATTATTAAGAATTCAAGTTACAATAAATGTTGGTGAGTATGTAGGGGAAAAGTTCACTTATACATTGCTGGTGGGAGACCAAAATTGGTGTAACCACTCTGGAAAGCAGTATAGAGATTCCTTAGAAGACCTGGAATGGAACCACCATTGGACCCAGTTGTCCACTCTTCAGCTTATACCCAAAGGACATAAAATCAGCATACTAGAATGACACAACCACATCAATGTTTACAGCAGTTAATTCACAATATCCAGTGCTATGGAATCAACCTGGGTGTCCTTCAACAGATGAATGGATCAAGAAAATGTGGTATGATACACATGGAAGACTATTTAGTAATAAAGAAGAATGAAATTATGGCATTAGCAGATAAGCCAATCCCCCCAAATTAAAAGTTGAATATTCTTTCTGATATGTGGATGCTAACCCATAACAATGGAGGGTAAGCAGGGATAGTACAGAAGTTCATTGTATTAGACAAAGGGGAATGAAGGGAAAGGAGAAGCGTTGGAAATAGGAAAGACATTAGAAAAATGGGTCATAATTTTCCTATGCTCATAATTGAACACACAATCAGTTTAACTCCACAGCATGTTCAACCACAAGAATGTGATGAAAATGGTGATGGGTTGCACCCCACGTGTATATAATATGTATAATATGTGAAAATACACACTATGGTCATGTATATATAAAAAAAATTTAAAAAAATACTTGAAAAAGTTCAACAAACTTGGAACTTTGAGGACAATGTACAAGGAATAAAAATAAATAAATATATATATATTAAAATACCAAGTTGCAGGAGCTTGGTGAATAAAGAAAATTAACCACATCCTTTCAGGGGGAAAAGAACCAGGTTATATAAATTCATAGCAACAGCTTAAGGTTCTGCAGAGTCCACTTAGTTCTGAGGTCAGTGACCCAAGAAGGACCAAAGACTGCTCTGCGGAGGAGTCTCCTCAAGGCCCCCTTCACATCCTTGTTCCTCA